GCCATGGTTTCTTCGATGTTCGCTTAGCAAGAGACAGTAGAGGAAATAGTAAAAGAAAAGGTAAGGTTTATTTGTCGTTTCTATCGTATTTTTGGCTAGGATAGTTTTTTAAGTTTCTCTACTCATCCGAGAATTTGTACTACGAACCGAAACTTCAAAGCCTTGACAAAAGCTCTATGATTTTTGTTTTCCTAATTTTGCCTTCTTTCCTTAGTTTTTTATGAGTTAATTTCTAGGATGCCGCACACAAAGAACACGCGCTTTAACTTGGCTCAATTCATGAAAGCTCGCAAGGTTGCAAGGGAGAAAGCTGTTGATGAAAATCGCAAGCTATCGGCAGAGTACAAAAAAGTCCAGCGAGCCCAAGAAAAGGTGAGATAAATTTGTCCAGTATTAATGTTTTGGGAAGATTTTTATTTTCAATATCAGAGAATATTGTAACAAAGGATTATAGGAAAGTGGTGGAGGTCCATGTGTAGGGAGGCTTGAATTTCAATTTTGACAGGGTAAAAGCTTTTTATGTGTTTAAACTCTAAATGACACTTGAAATTAAACAATCAGTGCTTATGAAATCACTTGTATAATAATTGCTTTCAGTTGGCCACAGTCAGGGAACACTTCAAAGACATAACAAATGAATTAGAAAATATTCCTGTGAGTATACTCTTGATTCTTTATTGTGGTTGTTTTACCAGTACCAGTAAGTATGCAGCAAAAAACTGCTGGGCGCAACCTCCAACTAAGTCTGTAGGTTTGCATTGATTAGTGGTTGGATGAGGTTTAATTTTATGCCAAATTTTATTAATAATGTGAACAGAAAAATATTCAATTTTGTAAAAATAAAAAAAAATATTTTGCAAGTTCAATTTCGGTGAACTAACCACTTAACACAGAGCCAGTGCCAGAATGACAGCCATGGTCAGGCTTCTATGCCGGTACCTATGCAAGAAACCTGAGCGAGTGCCTGTGTTCATTTGGTCAGTAAAGACTGTCATAAATGACAGTGTCTCTAAATTGTAAACATCAACATATTGAATGTGAGATTTGGCTAAATATCTATTTTGTTATCATCCAACCACATCTAATTTAAATAATTGTTTTACTACCCAGTGTCTAATTTAGCAATATTTTAGTCACAGGGACAGGTATCTCAGGCACGAACAAGAAGCCCTACTGCACTTGTCAATGGAGAATCAACACTGGGACCAAGGACCGCAAGAAAAAGGAGGCATGAAACCATTGAAGCTGCTGCCAAAATTCATGGGAGCTCAAATGAACATTCCTCAGCCTGTTTCGAGGGAATGTTTGACACTCTGCAAAAGAGATGCAAGTTAGATAAGTTAACAAAATATGTGACAGAGAACAAGCAGTTGACCAATAGAATAGTTTGTAAAGAGTATAAGAAGAGTGTGTTAGAATTTGAAAAGTCAGATGACAACATTGTTCGAAGTATTGCAACATATTATGCAAGTGGTGTAATGGGGAAACGAAAGTACAATCATATTACCATAATCAATATGGCGGACGGTCACGTTTTTAGAGCTCTTAGATGCTGGATCATTCTGCTTTATTTCTACGTTTGTTTCTCTGGTGCACTCCTTCCCAAGGCTAATCCTGACCTCGATATATCTGGTGATACTCTTCTCTTCATTTCTCACGGTCTGACGACAGTGAGAATTCAACCTTTTAACCATCGGTCACCGAGCTCGCAACATGCAAAGAATCTCCAGTTGCCGAATTCAAGACTTCTACTCCTTGGATGCCGTTTTGCGATTAATTCCTCTCTTTCCTTACTACTCATTCGTCTCGCAAATGATGTTGAACTTCAACCTGGTCCAGTTGGCTCCTCTAGTTCACACGACATCCTGTCTGATCTTCGGGATTTGTCAACGAAAAATGGGCTTACAATTATTCATCAAAATATCAGAGGCCTCGTGGCGAACAGGGATAGTCTATGCCAAATGATCGATGATTCCAAGCATATAGACATCATATCCCTCAGTGAGACTCATCTATCGGACAGTGAAGAGGCTCAAGTTCAACTGGATGGCTATACGTTCATTAATAGACCAAGGAAAACAGGCAAAGGTGGAGGTGTGGGAGTTTATATCTCCTCTTCTGTCCCCTTTCATAGAAGACTAGACCTGGAACGCGATGGAATCGAATGTATCTGGATAGAAATTTTATTTCCAAAATCTAAGGGTATCCTTATTGGTTTTATTTATCGCCCCCCGAGTTCTTCAAAGCATCTTTGTGCAGATTTTGAAAATAAACTGGAGTCGATGCTTTCTGCTGTATCATCTGAAAACAAAGAATGCATTTTGACAGGCGATATCAACTGCAACTATTTGGTAAGCTCAGACAACAAAGAACTGAAGGCAATGCTATTGTCTTTTGGCCTTAAACAGCTAATCAAGGATCCCACGAGGGTAACGCAAGATTCAAAAACACTGATAGATGTGATTTACACAAATCGCCCTCAGAATGTTTATAGTGTTAAAGTCATTCCCGCCGGCTTAAGTGACCATGATATGATTGGTTGTGTCCGGAAGCTGCATAACCATAAATTCCAGCCAAGAACCATCACCTGTCGAAACTATGCTAATTATGATCCTATATCCTTTTGCAATGATTTACGGTCCAATAGTTTCACACCTGTCTTTAAATCCTCCTGCGTTAATGAAGCATGGTCTTTTTTGAAAGCCATTCTGAAAGAATGTATTGATAAGCATGCGCCAGCTATAAAGAAGAGGATCAAAGGGAAACTCAGCCCATGGCTTACACAGAAGGTAAAGCAAGAAATGAATACCAAAGATCAGCTTTTGAGAAAAGCGAGAAAGACAAATCGTGAAATTGACTGGTCTTCGTACAAGCGCCAACGAAACAAAGTTAACGGTATGGTAAAAAATTGCAAAAGCAGGTATCACCGTGAACTCTTAGAGGAGACTGTGGGTTCACCTAACAAATTTTGGTCAGCTATTAAAAAACTATACCCTACAAAGTCTACAAAGGAACCAGGAGCAGCTTTTCTCGTTAATGAAGCAGTAGAAACCGACAAAGAGGTTATTGCAAATTTGTTCTGCAAATTCTTCACTGATGTTGCGCGATCTCTAAAAAGAAAGATCTTCCCTCTTTGCAATTTTGTCTGGAAAAGGCCCCTTACAATAGACACCCAGCAGCCGCTAGAGAACTTTGAGTTTAGATCAGTCTCGGAAAAGGTTGTCTTTAATGCATTAAAGAGCCTTAAGAGAAATAAGTCCTCTGGCCTTGACAACTTTCCTTCTGGAATGTTAAAGGACTCTGCTGATATAATAGCCAAGCCTCTCACGCATATAATTAACCTGTCTCTCGCAACAGGGTCTGTACCTACTGACTGGAAAGCGGCTAAAATTGTACCACTTTTTAAATCTGGTTCAATGGCCGAAATCGACAATTATAGGCCTATTTCAATACTTCCTTCAATGTCAAAGATCCTGGAGAAAGTGGTATTTAAGCAGCTGATGGCTCATTTTGAACAGAATGGTCTACTTTCTCATTTTCAGTACGGCTTCCGTCGCATGCGCTCTACTGAACTGGCCGTTACTCATCTTACCGATGTTATCAGAAGAGAAGGTGAGAATGGTAACCTGACAGGCTGTGTTTTCATCGATCAATCCAAGGCGTTTGACACCATCAGTCACTCTGGCCTCCTGAGCAAGCTTTCAACTTACGGAGTTCGTGGAACAGAACTCGCATGGTTCACTGATTACCTTTTCTGCAGATCACAAGTTGTCCAATATAAAGGCGTGCTATCAGAACCTCAACCCATTCTCACAGGTGTTCCTCAGGGAAGTATCCTGGGTCCTATCTTATTCATTATCTTTTTCAACGATGTACATAAACCGCTTCAACATTCGAAGATTATCACTTATGCCGACGATTCAGTCATCTATACCTCTTCTAAAGATATTGATACTATACAGAGAAGCCTTAGCGAGGATATGAATAACCTGTGCGAGTGGTTTAAAGACAACGAACTGATCCTTAACCTAAAAAAGGACAAGACGGAGTCTATGTTATTTGGAACAGCTAAAAGAATCAACCTTCAAGACAAGGAACTTAAACTTTCTGCTAATGGGTCACTCATCAATAATACCTCTACCTATAAGTACTTAGGTGTTCACCTTGACTCATCACTAAACCTCGCATCACATTTTGACCGAATCTATAAAAAAGCTGCAACCAGAATCAATCTCTTGCGATCAATTCGTCCTTTGATCGACCAAAAGTGTGCAGAATCGATCTATAACACTATGATCGCACCTATCTTTACCTATTGCGGAACACTTGGTCTTAGCTTTCCGGATTACCGAAAGGAAATGATAAAGAACATCGAACGACGAGGCTTTAAAGTTATCGGCAATAGTTCTTTTAATCCCCCATCCGTGAACAATTTGATCAAGCGTAAAAGCTGTCTGTTTGTTTTCGACTGTCTCCTGAATAATGTTTGCACACCCTTTAAGAACTACTTCGAAAGGCTGGTTCATTCTAAGGCCACTAGGAATAACGGTATATCAGTGAAATTACCCAAAGTTCGTTTAGAATTTGGTAAAAAGAGCTTCTATTACCAAGGAGCAAAGACTTTCAACAACCTGCCTGCTGAACTAAGGTCGTTAGATTCGAGACTGAAATTTAAGAACAAATTGCGAGATTATTTTAGTTAAATTCTATCTAAACGTGGTTATAGGTATCCTTTTCAGAGCATTTTTATTTAATTTTTAATTTTTTTTTTTTTTTTTTCATTTTATTGTATGCTTTTCTAGACCTTAAGATCAATGATTATATCTTGTTAAATTTTATTTTATTTTATTTTATTTATTTATTTATTATTTTTGACAGGCCCCCAAGGACAACAGTGTTACACACTGATGGGTTTTTCAATCCTGTATAAAAATTCGTTATTATTTATTATTATTAAAAGTGTAAGACTGGTGCTTTCAATGAAATCAAATGAAGGCAAACCAGGGAAAAGAACAAGTATTTCAATTTGTAAAGGCTGTAAGGTTCCAAAGCTTCTAACTTATAGTAACCTTGTAGAACAGTTAAAAAAGATTGACATTGGGACTGTTCATGAAATTGACCCAGACTATCTAGAGGGCTTAGAAACTGAAAACCAAGTCAATGGTGCATATAGAGACTTGAGACAATACCCACCACTTGCTGTGTCCTCTTAATAAATGTGATGGTGAAAGGCGTTTCAGAAGTTATGGAAACTTTTGAAGTTCCTTTTCTTGTTCCTTTACTCTGCTTAATAAGGAATTCTCGGACTGAGTCTCTGCTTAGCTCAGATAACTGGGCAAAATCTCGAATCAGTCTGTTCTCTCTGTTATAGTAGATTATATCTGTGTGTTTTTCTTCGTTGTGCACAACACCATAAGCGGAACGGGCCTTTTTAACCATCTGTAAAATTAAGGAAAATATTTCCGAGGACATCGCCCTTTTAAACTCTACAGTCCAAGCGCTTCGGGCCTTCATTCTTGGACTGAGGCGCCTATGGAGCATCTTAAGCCACATCTTCACTTCTCCTTCCAGGAGTGCTGTCGCTGGAATTTGTGACATTTTAGCTCGTTTCAAAGAGCTTTGGCCCACACGGTTTTTTTCAAAAATTGAAGTGAGAGCTGTTTTTACTTCTTCTTCAAACAAAAAGAAATTATCGACTTCATCACGTAAAGGACGAAGAGCCACAATAGCATTCAAAATGCTATTTTCAGCCGCCATTTTGAAAACTGCTTTGTACTTTTATTCGCATTTCCGCTGTACAATCTCAAACAACAGCGGGCGACAAAGTTCCACTTCACGGCACGCGCCAGCCCGGCGTGTTGAGTTGACATAATGCATTGTCTTGTATACTGGGCGGAGAGTTTTCCATCAAAATATCATTATCGTGTTAAATCATCTAATGCAGTTCCCACTTATTTCCTAAATTAAAGTTAAGTATTATAGAACGTTGATCGGGAAAACTTCATTAAATTTCTCAGTTTCCTTACAAAAGCACACATATTTATCGGTCTGAGTCAATTTGGCAAACTTCAGCTCATCCTTTAGATGACATCTAGTGAAGTCTTTGTCATAAAAACATGTCGAAATCATTTCACCTTCACATACAGTATAGCTATAACCTATTTTATAAAACTCTAAAGGTCAACTTGGTAAGAAATTAACTATCTGGAAGCAGAGTGGTCGCACTGATAGGGAACTGGGTCTATTTCCTCTCATCCTGCTTTTTATCAGAAATGATTTTGGTTGAGGTGAGTTCTGCATCTGCTCGTCAGCTGTGCCCTGTAAAACGCCTTTTAGTATGAATTTAAACAGTTGCATTTTTCTCATGTAATATTTTTTTCGTTGTTTGCTTACATCCAACCTTAAAGATCCCTCTGATTTAAGTTTGGAGAGTGGTCTTCTAAGCTCTTTGTCAACATTCGATCTGCTGAGAAAACGAACAGCTATAACTAAGAAGTTTAGGTTGAAACTACACTGTTTTAGTATCGTGTTAAATCTAGCAAGTTCAGTGACATTTGAATCCTAAATTGACAGGTGTGATCGATGTTTTAGGCAAGAAAACCTTTTTGCATACACAGCTCTGAAGTTCTTCTTCCGAAATACGAACAGAAAGGGATTCAGCGCCAAGTTGAGAAAACCAAACATCAACAGCACGATGTAGACTTCGTGGTCAAACGATGTCCAGTTTTTGCTGGTAATGATGTCAGAGACAAGCCAAAGGGCGTATGGCTGCCAGCAGACGAAAATAGCCAACACGAATACCGAGCTCTTTTTGGCTGCCTTGATATTCTTCAGATACATCTCTTGTTGTTCATTCGTGAGTTATTCGGATGAATTATGCTTTGTATTGCTTAGAGCCTTCTCGTGCTCTCGTATTATGTGATATACTAGAACTTAAAAAGATTGTTGCTGAAGGCGTACAAAAAGGGATTAAGCGCTGAATTAGGGTAGCCCAACCACAACAACGACATGTAAACTTTGCAAGGAAACGACTCTTTCGCTAGAATGGTTTCGACGATGATGAAATAACAGTAAGGCTGCCAACAGAAGAAAAGCGCCAACAAGAAGGTGGCAGTCGTCTTGGCAGCTTTGACATTCTTGAAATACATCCTTTTTTCTTCTTTAGTAGGTTCCCGGATGGAGGGAAAGCCATCTCGTTTGGTAAATTGATTGTTTTTGACCGCAATACGGTAAATCAAGATGTAGAGAATGCATGTGATCATTAGGGGAAAAATGATATTGAAAAAAGAGCTAAAAATGTTGTATTCCTTAGTATAAGGCAGCATGCAGTTGTCTTTATCATCTGGTTCTCCCTTTTCTCTCCAAAACATGAAGACAAAAAGTGCCCATAAAATGCTGTAGAGCCAGATTACCATGATGACTAGTAAGGCTCTTTGTTGAGTCATGAATTTTGAGGTCTCAAACCGAGCCAAAGGATCTCTAAGGGTCTTGTATCGATCCACGCTGATGGCCAAGAGGCTGAAAATCGAAATGGGTATGGTATTAAGGTACATAACTTGCCAAATTATACAGAATGCTTCTCCATGATACCTTTCAAAATCAATCCTGAAAAGTAACTCAATGTCAAACGGCATCACTACGATTGCTGCAAGAAAATCCAAGAGAGCGAGGAACAGAATGAGGAGATTCGTCGGATTATTGCGGAGATGTCTATTGTCAAGTATTGCGAGACAGACCAATAAGTTTCCAAAGACCGTTACAGATGTAATTGCTGTGGCGCAGGCCGAAACGGGATACGAAAACATTTGTTCGAAAATGCACGGAGTGCATTCGTCGTGAGGTGAGTTGACAGCGGAGTTATTGTTGATCTTCACTTGGCGGTTCTAACACTTAAACTTTCTTAGGGAATTGGAACAAACTTCTCGCGCAGCCAGTCAGTGGTTTTGTAATAACACAGCCTCACGAGGTTCTTATGCAACGACGTTTCCTTTTATTTTGGATTACTTTAAACAATTTGACACCAGTGATGGAAACAAGCTAAATATTTGAAGCATCAATAATATATCCAATAGTGCTGGTCTGTTCAACCGCGATAATTGAGTTTTGGCAGAGTTCACTACTTTTGTTATTATTTTTAGCAACGTCTCGATATCCGTTTGGAGTGACATTGGATGAGTAACTGACACTATTATCGGTAAAACATGCACAGCTGTTATCTAACTTACTCGGTGGGAAACGTGAAAGCTGCTGTATACAAAAAGGACTGAACTTTAAGCTGTAATCACGTGAATAGGTCATTCAAATCCGATCTTGGCGTATTCACAAGCGTGTCCTTAATTTACCTCGGCGTTTACCTTGGCATTATTGAGCGATTACACAATTCAATCACAAAAACACTTGAAAAATTGTCAAAGAAAATGCTTGTCCTTAAATAATAGTTCGTATCCGGAGAAATCTTAAGCACAATATAAGCATCACATTTGCAAGTACATGATTAAGTATCGCGTTATGTCTTATTTTCTAGTTGAGTCCAAAGCATTCGCGTTTTTTTTTTCAAGAGCTAAGGAGAAATGTTTTTTAAATATTTTTAAAGATTAAAGTTGTAGTGAAATCGCTTTGGTGCGCTTTCCCTTTATTAGGTATTGGCTGGAGGTTTCCATCAAAATGGCATAATCGTGTCGGTGTTTTTCTCTCGCTCACTACAGAGAGGAGACATGTCGGTAAAATGGCAGCTGTAGAAATCCACAACAATTTATCATTTGGGTTGCTTGATTGGCGGATTTACCTTTTTCTCGAAAGCGTGTCTGGTCAGAAAGCTGCGGCTTCAGGTCAGGTTTTTTTTTACCTATGGAGTTGATTCCTGCCTCTCTTCGCTCCGTCATCATTCCTCTTTTTTTAGCATCGCGCAGAATGCCTGTTGTTATCCTGTTCTCGCGACATAAACTTACAGTAGAAAAACAATTATAGATCTGTAATATTAACAGCAAAGCATAATCTGGTGAGTTATGATTGGTCAAAGATTACGAAAGCAATCATATTGATATGCCGTTAATTTTAGAATCTACTTCTTTTGTGATATAAACTCATGGTGAGGAAAGGAAGTCGGAAAATAAACAAAGCCACAGCAATATTTCCTGTCAAGCTGTTCCCTTCTTTGAAAAGTGTTTGCCCAGAAGGCCGGAGCTTTTGACACGTTCGATGACTGATACTTGTGCGCTTAGAATATTGACAAATCGTTCAAAATCAGGGGGAAAAGGACGCCGAAATGAAATTCGAGATACCATTCTTTCTTCAAAAACAAATTAAACACTTCCTTCTTAGTTTGCTATCATCACTTAAATAAATATATCGCAGTTGAGTGGGAAAGCTAGTTTACTAAACTAGCTCTTTCAATCAAGTATTTATCTTGTAGGCCAAAGAAACGCTCTTTGTCGTTAGTTGATTAAACCCGCCCTGACTCTCTCCTAAGGCAACTGTGTCCTCATTACAAAGTCTTGGGCTTGCACTTATTGGCTACAAAAACCGCATACAACACATACTGTGGGCTTTGCTAGAAATTCGCAGGTTGACTGTCGTTGAGAATAGGGTTGCATAGAGATGGTTGCGCTCTGATTGGTCGTGGATTACGTCATATCTTGCGATAGTCATCCAGAGCAAGTTGGTCAGTTAATAATGAGGCACATATTTTCAAAATAGGTACTGCGTGATCCGCTGATTTTTACATGACGGGGAAAATTAAATGCATTTGATCATATTCATTAGTCTAAGACAAAAATTCGCCATCGCGAATGTGCCTACAAGTGCTTCAAATATTTTGGTTAAACACGTGTTTCCTTGAACTGGAACGGCTTTGAGATTAGCAGTCAGTGCGTTCGAAAAACATTATACATACGTTTGTAGTATATTGAAACAACGTACACTCTTCTGGGGATTTTCGGATTCTCGTGGGATTGTAAAAGTCAGAGAAAAAGGCCTGACTGAACACACAAAGGAAAAAGAGGCCATGAAAATTGGCCTCATCATGACACTCTTACAACTACGGCATTAACCTTCTAAAATGGGGTTAGTAAGCTTTCGCGACTCTCCAGTAGGTGTTTTAGCCTTTCCGAAGTTTGGCTCTTGTGTATTACCTTGAGTGATCTCCCTCTTTTGGAGGAAATGAGGTGCGAATCTTGTATATTTCGCTCAGCAATTGTTGTTGTGCTATTAAATGCCAGATTTTTTTTTTTTTTATGACGATTAATTTTAGTCTAGGCACTGACGGTTGATAATGTGGGACATACTAAGGAAGTCATAAATTAACAAACTGTATGTTTCTGTAATGTTCGTATAAATCACAATCATTACTAGAAATTACCTGATTAGAGAACTGTTCTTCCTCCTAATCTTACACCACGACGAGGCTTTCGCGGAGAGAGCGGAATGGCAGTCACTGACATTAAGGCCTGCCTCCTCAAGAGCCTTTTTGTACATATATTTCAACTACTCTGGTGTCAGACCCCTTGGTTAAGTAAATCAGTGTTTATATATCCGTTTTTTTGAAGGTATCAACGCTGAATAATTGGAGAGTAAACACATGACGAAGGACCAAATTTACCATAATTTTGAGTTTTACTAGGAGAAGCGGGTAGACACTGAACTCTCCTTAGGGAAGATAAATAAGGGATAATTCAATATACATATTGTTGTTTATTGTTTTCAATATTTCATTTTTACTAAATTTGACTTTCCGAACTTCTATGATTCGAAAAATCTCC